TCCTAAGTTAACCAACTACTCCATACAACCCTTGTTGGCCGCGGAACGAATTAGGACATTATGAATCAATCATTTGGTTACCGAGAGTGTTTGGAGTCGGGACGCGTCGCGCGCCGCGCCAATCCGACCCTGCAGAAAGTCGGCAACACCTCCATATTTCGCAGCTTCACAACACCTCACCAACGCCGTCTTGTGCCCAGAACCTTTCACCATATACCCAGCGCAAACGACGATCTATTACGAAACGCTTCCATCCTTCTCAACTCGGACATCCACCTTTTTCGAAGGCGCATCTATCCTGCACGCGGCTACGACGGGGGAGCATGTCACAGACGCCGACACAGACGCCTTCGCGGCGGCGGGCGGCGGTGGACACGCCGGGTTCTGTGCGGTCCAACACGTCCACGAGCGATCGCAGTGTGCTGCTCGAGCGGACGGAAGAGCTGGAGTTGGAGATCGAGGACCTCCGGCGAGCGATAGCATCCGAACGGGAGCGGAGGCGTTCGACGCAGCGGCAGCTGGAGAAGCAGCGCGCTACCGATGCAACGCGCGACGAGGTGCGCACCACCCTGCTCGAGAAGCTGCGCCAGATGGACGACGATGCGCTCACGGCATTGTTGGGTGCGTCGGTGCAGAGTCTTGCGCGCGTGATTGCCGGTGCCGATTCCGCGTGGGTCGCAGTAGACGCCGGGCTGGTGCCCAGCAAGTCGGTCGGTGTAGAGGGCACAGGAAGTGCGTCTGATATCGACCGTCGACTTGCACTGTCGGCGCAAGGGGTGCAGCACGAGTTGCACCGAACCCGACATGCAGCTTCAGTGAACCAGTGGCTCAACGATCGACAACGCCGCTCCAATGCGCTCGTTCAGTCGCTCGCCCAGTTTTCCTATCTCGACATCGACACGCTCGACCAAGCATCCTCCAGCGAGCGTCGAAGCATCCACCTCGCTGGATCCTTTGCACGACTCTTTCCGATCGATATCCGGTTCGTTGTCGACGACTCTGGTTCCTCACCTGCAATCCAGCATCTGGCAATCGACATTCCGAGCTGGCTTTCAACTACGCTCAACACCCCGCATGCGCTCTTCTCGCGCTTGCTGAAACGTAACGATCTACCGGCGGTACTGCTGATGCTGCGTACGATGGTGCCCCTACTGTCGTTGCGGCGCAACATGTTTACGTCGCTGATGGAGTCGTATACCGACTTGGTGCGATCACACATTCGGGCGTGGGAATCGTCGCACGGAATCGACTTTGCACCCTGGTATCCACCGGGCACCTCTCGCAAGCGCGCCTCGTCCCGAGTCGATGAAACCCTCGGACGGTCACTTATCGCCACCGATGCCGAAACACTCGTGCTGCAAAACTCCCACGGCGCATCGCTGACACTGCGCTTCCGCATTGTCTGGAATCGTTATGGCCATGCAGTGCCACAGCTGGACGCGGAACCCAACGTACCAGCAGGATTGATGGACCCAACAGCAACCGCGTTTTTGCAACAGTTTGACCACGAGTTCAAACACCTCTGCAAGGTTGCGGTACAGCAGGATGGCATCGTAGGGTGGCAGGACGAAGAGCAGGATCAGGCCGTGGGAAGATGGGGCCTCATGCCGGCACTGCACGCTACCATAGCGGCGTTCTTTAGACTAGCCATTGACGACGCCTCGGATACAGGCTCCGACTAGATCCATCTTCACACCTGGTAATCCATAGCGAGATGCAAGAGCTCCGCTGTGTGTGAATCGTCTTCTCACTCTGAGAGAATCTCTTGCCACATGCACTCAAGTCGCAAACAAGGGCACAAAGTCTCCATCAACAACACCGGCGTACACTGCCAGCCTCGTGCGCCAACCCCCACCCCGCTCTTGCTGCCGCGCATGCTGCATCCCCTCCACACGCAGCCAACTTTCACCAGCCCTTCGTTCGTGAGATACACCGCCAACGAATAACGTGTTTTGTGTACAACCGACGCTCG